GCGTATCTCCATTGATAGGGAAAGCTGAGTAACTAACTAACTAACTGTTCAGTCAACGAGCTAACCAACCAACCAACCAACCAACTATTACTTCTTACTTTATCTCGCTTTCAAGTCTAACTCTTCTATGCATGCTTTTCTCGTCTGTGTGCACTTTGTTACAGCCTAGATTGCTGCAACCCATTCACTCCATCGTTGTGAATTCTAAGTTGAAGAGAAGTGGTGCCTAACTGGGGCTGACAGTACGGTTATCCACTATGAAACATTAAATCTTCTCGAAACTATATTCCGCCAACTGACAAAAGACGGAATTCTTGATTCCCAGTTGCACACTGGTTGGTGAGTGCACCTAGTAAGCTGGAGAATGTGGTTCTGATTTCCCTGTGACGTCATGTTTGTGTTGTTTAAGGGTAAATTCCAAAGAAAATGTGCGAAACAGCTCTCCAGTACTCTCAACTTATCATTACATCTCTAAAAGATATTCCTATCTGTCTGTTGACTGACATATCTCCCTTTAAAATCAATCAAATGCCTAAACAAGCAACATCAACAACACTGACAACTACACTTGAGTGAGAAGGACTATTGTATTGTTGAGAGCTTCATATTCTTTCTTTGTTCTAGCATGATTTGAAGGTGATGTACATCGGTGGCTCAGTGGTTCTGACTGATGGGAGTAGTGTGGGCTGACAGTGAGAATCTAGCCATTGGTTTCAAAGACAGATCAGATGAACTACAATTGGTTTGCCACCGCCTCCTTTTCCCCTTTTATTCCTATGTGATTAAGCTTGGTTCAACTAACTTTGATTCATGTTGGTAGAATTGTTTCGATAGAAATAGAGAATAGAATGCACAGAAAAACTATTAATCAGAATAATTACACTTTTCGTCGTGGTTGTGACAAGTCAGCTAACTAGCTAACTAAGTATCTCACTGACTAACTGACTGACTGACTGACTAACGGACCACAATGACAAATAAGCAACAACTGGTAGATAGGAGGTAGGCAGCAAACGGGGAGGAAGCAAAACACCCTGATCTTGAACAATATTCCTTTCGAAATATATTTTGCGTATATATTCATAATCATGTGATGAAAATAATCTTAGGCATGAACTAACTAACCCTCTTTACACTATTAAATAAACCATTTCCTCCACCATTACGACATCAAACTTTATTGTCATTGTTCTTCTTATATTGATAATCCTCTCAATTTTTTGTTTATGTTTTTTTCATAAGTGTGAACATCATTTAAGCTGTGTTATAATTGTTAATTTTGTATTCCTTCTCACCATACTGTATCAAAACACTAGATTCAATACTCTATGATATGCTAAGACTTTCAAATTGAATCGACAATACTGTTTGAAACAAACTCACTGTTATTATTATTATATTTAATATTCTCAATTCGTACTTCGAATATTTTGGCTTTATATCATAAACATGGACAAGTCCCTCTGGTTAATTTTGTTTTAATTTCTAGTTTTATTCATATTTTAAGTAAATCAGATGCAATATTGTGATAAATGCTGAGAATTCCATTCTGTATTATAAGTACTATTTTTAGAATAAAGTGGATTATTATTATCATTACTATTATTATTACAATTTATGCTTATCAGACAGTTACTCAGTCTGTAATTCAATGAACCAACATAAAATTTGCAGTGACTGGTGGGTTGAGGTGGATGAGGGGAGTTAATAACATAGGAGAAAAGATTATAGGTTTCCCACACACACGTATAATTTTACCACTTGTTCGGTAAGTTCCATGTTATTAGATAAGTTCATTTGATATATTATATATATACACACACACAGGCACAGTAAGTGACACAATGTTCATTATAATTGAATGATGAAGTTTCGAGCAGGACTTTTATTGTTGCTCATAATCGTCATAATCAATGTATTTTGAGATGACATCCTACTCTTTTGTCGCTGCAATGTCAAAATTCTCTTGGACAGGTGTGTCATTATTTATACTGGTGTTATTTCGATGTGCAAAGATTCGGTAACTAAACCATCACTGTCTCTAAACCTAAATATATTACTTTTGAATACTTCTCCCTGATACCGCATATATCACTATATGATTACGTGCACTTGAATATGTTGAAATGGTGGAGGTTTTTTTCTCTAAATGATGAACGTCATCAGGGTCGATCATTTCAGATCCAGTTAATTAAATTTCTATATTCCGATAATCTGGTTGATTCTGAGGTGTTACCTGTGATTGACGTGACAATTATTGCGTGGTTTTCGGTAAATGATATCCTCTCTCCTATTTGGATCCATCGGGTCAATCAGGCGACAAAATTTGTCTATGAATGAGTTGCATGGTCTGAATGCCACCTCATTTCTAGACCAAGTGAAACTCCTACTTAAGATCTCTGATATTATTTCCCCATATGTCAGTATCGTTATTGCCTCGATATAGAATTAAATTCTACAGTAGTGTCTAAATTCTGCTCTTATATTGAATCTCTTACGAGTCCTACAGAAATGGTAATGTAGATATTATTAGTATACACAGAGAGTCATCGGAGGAAGCCATGGTGATTTTTATGTGCCATTGGAAAATCCACTGGTGAGGAAGAAAAACTCGAGTATGTGATGACACTACTGAGAACATTTCAATCTCATAAGCGGCAGATAATATAACGTTTGCTTTCAAAAATGAGTCTGGCTTCTTCGGTTCAGGTATGTTAGCAGAAAATCACAAACTTAAATCTACTGTTGTTTTTATCATTTATTAAATGTGTCTCAAATGCATATCAGGGCTTCAATGGCACAACTCTTTTAATTCGGTGGATGGTGATTGGCAGTGGAATCCAAGTGCTCTAGAGAATAAAGTGCTACTGTTTGAAACGAGGGGTACTGGGTTCAAGTCTCAGTGGGAACACTATCACTCTCAGGGGAATCCAGGTTTTAGGCCAGGAAGAGGGTGTATTGATCATATCTTCACCCTTCGACAGATTCTAGAACGTAGGCATTCCTACCGGCGTCCGACAATCATTATATTTCTTGACCTAAAGGCGGTATTCGATTCTGTCGACCGAGAGGTTCTATGGCAATGCTTAGCTATAAAGGGAATGCCGAGAAAATACATTGCACTGATTAAGGCACTCTACTCGTACTCATGCAGCCAGGTGATGGCTTATGGCGAGTTGTCATCCGAAGTGGTGACGACTAGAGGCGTCCGTCAAGGATGCCCATTATCCCTATTCCTATTCAACTTCATCATAGACGTACTAATGGACTTAACCCTAACACACTTCAGCGACTCAGGGATTGACTTGCTACCAGGGAATAATCTCGTTGACTTAGAATATGCAGACGATATAGTCCTTCTAGGCGAGAACGCTGACAAAATGCATAGTCTACTGGACACCTTGAGCAACAATCTTCGTATGTTTGGCATGCGATTCGCCCCTGTAAAATGTAAGATGATGCTGCAGGATTGGACTTCACCGACCCCTAGATTAGAAGTAGGAAGTGAAATGGTAGAGCACGTTGACTGCTTCAATTACTTGGGAAGTACCATCAGCTCCAACGGGTTGATCTCTGACGAAATTTCAGCACGGATACAGAAGGCTAGGTTCACATATGCCAGTTTACGCCGTCTCTGGCGTAGACGCGATATCCGACTATCGACCAAAGGGCGTGTGTACTGCTCAACAGTCCGCTCGGTCCTCCTTTATGGCTGTGAGACCTAGCCATTGAGAGCAGAAGACATGAAAAGATTAGCTGTCTTTGATCATAGGTGTCTGCGTTCTATCTCCCCGTGTGAAGTGGTATAATAAGGTGAGCAATATTGAGGTTAGGCGTCGAGTGCTAGGTAAGGCGGGGAAATCAGTCGACAAGACTGTGAAATTACATCGACTGAGATGGTTAGGACATGTGTTACGTATGCCTAGTCATCGCCTTCCTCGACGGGCAATGTTATCTGATATAGGTCCAGGCTGGAAAAGAGCCAGTGGCAGTCAAACGAAAACATGGCACCAGTCAATGAAATCCACAACAGTTAGCTTAAGCCACGTAGGAAGATGTAGACTTCCTGGTTGGGGTCCTCTGGACGGTAAAAACCAATGGTTGGAAACAATTGGTGACATGGCTCAAAATCGTTCTCAGTGGCGCAGATGCATCTACTCCTTGTGACTTATGATTTCCAATGAAACTGTTTTGTTCTTCGTTATTACTATTCCTTTGTCTCACACCTCTGTTTACTGTCTCTAATATGCATTTCTCCTACCTTCTTCTCTTTCTTTGTGTGCTACATGGAGTGTGGCGACTTGAACTGCCGCACATATGTGCAAAGTTCTATGTCGAAAACCAACCGACCGACCAAATGATGAGTCCCAAATAAGGCGAAATTCACATTCTGGCTTCCACTGCTAGTCACCACTCACCGAACTACTTGAAAGGAAGAGGTACTGATGAAAGTCTGCAGTAAGTAGCCTGTTGCTACATCAGATAATTTCAAATCCTACTGTTTGCATAGTGACCTTTCGGCCACACATACACACACACGGGTTCTGAGCTCGATTCTCGGTCACTAATGCACTTCTGCTAACCTTGCTTACCCGGTAGCAAGCCGAGTTAAGTGAAAAGTTTGTGAGGGCGGTTGAGTGGGTAGACATGAGGTTAGCAACCCCACCGTGCACACTGAAAAAAACAACAAATAACTGGTTATCAGTTTGAAATTTATCTTGCGAATTATTCTATTTTTAGGCATGAATAAATTCGTTTTATCAGTCAGTGCATAAAAGAATAATTAAATCTTACGTATGTTTTTTTATCATACTCATCTGCATTACTTTACTTTTTTGTTTTTAATAATGTTTATTTTGATGGTTGGCGGCTTTCGGATTTAGACATTGCGTAATCAGTTAACAAAGCAAGCAATGATGCCTTCAAAAAAATGCAGGACGAAGACAAAGGCTAATAACACTGACTACAAGGACAGAGATGGTGAAAATGGAAGACACAAGATGATAGAGAAATCCTCAGCACAATCCTTAACAAGTAAATTAAATGAGAAGCACGCGTCAAACAGGATTACTGATGGGAGTGTCGTAAATAATGGTGACAGTAGCAGGGGTCATGGTGGTGTTGATACCGATGATGATGGAGACGGAGATAAAAGTTTATCTGTTGAAAGTAGACCGAACTCTGGTAAACAGAATCTATCTAATAGTGGAAAAACAAACAGTAATAATACAAATGAAATGGTAAGTGAATACACTAACACTGAGTGTCTTTTATTTCTATTATAACATGATATTCACCGAATAGAGTCTTATCAACGAATTTATTATCCAGCTGTACAATCGTATGTATGAATGACTTTTCAACAAACTATATCTCCTCAGGAAATTTAAACTGGGGATGTGATTACTGAAGTGTTGATTTGCAGGGAACATTTTGAAAGCCTGGGAAAACTGGACTGCTGCTTCGTTCCATTCCGGTACTGTTCAGCAGTACTCACTCACCGGAGTTTAGGCTCAAAACTTTACGGTTGCACGGCGAGCTCATAGACCTTTAAATCCCTTGGACCCGACCCAATAGTCCATGAATTCCAAGTTCCGCCTATTCACCAAATAGCGTAACCAGAAGGTCGTGGAAAGGTGTAGAAGGTAAATAAAAACTACTTAACGCCTTGAGAATTTTGATTAGATAGAGTTTAACATCAGAAAATATATAATGGATTGAAATAATAACCGGGAGGCGAAAGGGGAAGTGAAACAATGCCGGAAACTGTTCAAAGTGAAAACAAAGATAATAACAATCTTCATAACAGAGGGAAAGGTATCTAGATTAAATAAACAAAATGAAAAATAAATAATTGTTTACTGCTCTACGACTAAGGTATAAATAAGGACTGTACATACTTTTTTTATACACAAATATCTGGCTTGTTATCATGAATAGCCAAGATTTTCGCTCTCCTAGGAAGTTTATGAAATGGGAAAAAGTGGTAAGTTAGAATGAAACTCATAGATGATCTTAAAATCAACGTTGGGGTTGGTTAAGAGGTGGAATTCGATCAAGTTTTCTAGAATAGAACTTCTCACATGCTTCCATTGTACCTTTTAAGGGCATGCTGGAATGTACTCTCGTTTTGTAACATAAAAATAACTTGATGATATTTTGTTTGGCAGTGATTACCAGTGGAATTGGTATTTCATCCTATTCGGTGCTCATCAACTGAATGTAACTGCGTAAATCCAGTACGTGGATGAGTGAGTTAGTGGGTAATACTGTTCCTACTGGAACTAGAATCCATTCAGCACTCACATTTTCAAACGGCACTGCAAGCCATCATGAAATCAATACAACACTATGGTAACATTCAGATATCGTTGAAGTCTCTGTGGATTAGGAGCTGATATTGTCAAAAACGACATCAAGTATTTTTATCGCTCAGGTGGATGACTGTGATATTGATGTGCTGCTTTTCATTTGGATGGTTTGCTGTTTCAAATGCTTTCACTGTCATTCCAGAAAACACCGGGAATCAAACTATGACCTCCCTCGTTGTCGATGAGTATAACTGGCTCCATGACAAGGAATCAAACTTGGGCTTTCCACATGACAGGCTGAAATATTCAATATTATATTCTGAAATATATACATACTATTATTTCCTACATTATTTGATTCACAAGTAACTTCAGATTCCCAGTGAGTAGGACAGTGTTCTAACTCAGGCTGGAATTCTACCGGCACTCATCGTCTCAAACTCCATATCAAAATAGACTAGGTAACTAACCAACAAGAATACGGAAATCAGTTTAGACAAATAAAAATTTTATGAATGGCTGTAGAATTTCACACACTATTCATACTTAACAGTCAACGGTGTTTTCCGAGTATTCTTCTTTAACGTAGATTTACTGTCATGAACTTGACAACATCAATTAGAGAACCACCGAAATCAAGGAAAGTCGCATGATAGTTGTATAATCCTAGTTTACAACTGATCAGCAGTGCCCACATACAGCTCCAAGAAGGGTCGTACTACTCAGGACTTTCAGGTTTTGGAGGGGAAGTTCGTCGGCAATTCAGCGAAATTGCGCCTGGAATCCAATGACCTATAAATTCTAATTTTATTGAATTCTGATATATAGCGCTACTTGTTTTTCAATGATTCAGTTTAACTGGTGTGTTTTCCTGATATGAAACTGTCATTGAAATTAAACGTAACCAAGTATATATGTATATACACTCCGCCACTCGCTGTATCAGCTTCCTCTGATTTATTTTGTAGACGAGTGAACACAAATCTGATGAATTGTTTTCACTAGTTAAAGAATATTCTAATCACAGTTCAAATATTTCAATTACTAAAAATTTAACCACAAATAACAGTGAACGTGAAGCGGACGCGATAACTAATTCTTTAAATGCGAACAAGCCCTCGCCAGTTATACAGCCTATCTCAAACATGACGAAAGATGAGAAATTTAATGAAATGTCTGCACAAGGTGATGATCAGCGGACAAGCGTACCATGTATTGTAAAAGATTCTGATATTTGTTTAGTGACAAGTGAATTATTTAGTCAATCTCTATCAGTTTTAGAAGGTTTCAATGTACCTTTGGAAAGAAATTGTAATAATTATAGAAAAGTAAGCAATGCATTTCCAATTATGTATACTCGAACTATTGACAGTGACACCAATTATCGTATGTGTTCATCATTCTAACCATCGTGCTACATAATCAAGAAGTTTGGAGTTTGACTGCTGGTCGTTGACGCACTGCCTAAAAACCACATCTATTTTACTAACTGACGGTAGGTCTTGGAATGAAGAAAGGTTGAACGTGAGGTTGACAGCCACCCCACCTCGTGCAGACAACAATACAGCTATTGAAAGTTCAGTGCTTCAGGCATGGAGCCCTCTGTTTCACTCGGAAATTAAAGGAATGACAAAGGCGATAACTCGTTTTCCAGGATAAAAAGGAGTTCAGGCAAAGAATATTCCTTTTCGATAACTCTCTCTCTTCATCAGGTTCATCAGTTACATATATTCAGGACAAAAATAGTTAGGGGAAACAATTGTTTTCAGTAGATTCTTCTTCAGGCTCTACTGTCATAAATCCATTAATTTAGGCATAAGGTATTTAGATAATCCATCTATAGGAGCTTGACTACATCTTATGTCAGTAACTGAATCGGTATCAATCAGTACCAGAAGACCGGGTCTTTGCATACAGAACAAGTATGTTCAACCACTGTGTTTGTCTTGGCCTACAATAGGGTCAACACATCCCTCATAAACATCAGCCCTTTAAATTCCCAACGTAAGTTTTCTTCTTCTTTTTCCTTTATTTCATGAACAAGCATTCATCTCTAGCCTTCTACGATTTCATGAACTTTTTTAAGATTTCCACTAACTTAGATTTACGTAGTGCTTTTATCTAACTTGTTGTTATGCTGACATTAAATTCACTATTCCCTGATAATCGTTCACTTAATAGTACTCTTAAGTTTACAACACATCACCGTTATTACTTCACCATCAGTATTATGGTTATTAGTCATCCATGATCTTGCATCTTGTCTACCCCATTTGTTGGTTTATTTTTCTGTACAGTTCATATTGTCACCCTCTCACATCATTGATTACAATCACCCGTGAAATCTGTCTGACTGACTGGTTTCAACATAGAAGTGAGCACCGATGCGCAGCAGTTCGAGCCTATGAGTAGTTCTTCAGCTTTCTTGATGTATTCTTCTCTGTCCATGACTACTGTTGTTCTTCCTTTGTCAGCTGGTAGAATGACGATGTCCCTTCTATCTTTCAGCTTTTTCACGGCCTTTAGTTCTTGAGAGTTGAGTTGAGTGTGTTGTTTTTTCTGTTTGGCCATTGGTAAGATTGTTTGTCGTGTCTCTTCCTGTGTTTCCTCGTTCAAGTTTTATGATTTGAGTAATGATTCAAAGGCAGAGAAGAAATCAGTTTTTGAAGCGTCTCCAGTGTTGTAGTTTAATCCTTTTTGTAGTAGTTGTTTTTCCATTTTTGATAGTGGTTGTTTTGATAGGTTGACTACGCAGTCATTAGGTGCATTGGACAGAGTAGAATACACCAAGAAAGGTGAAGAACTACTCAAAGACGAGGAAGTATATACAACAACCAGACAATGCAGTTCGAATCCCATTTTATCTCGTGTTCTCACTGACTATGCATGTACTAAGTGATAATAAAAAAATAACTGACTATTGTTCCATCCCACCGCATACTTGCTCTACAGTACAATTTCTGATGTGATTCTAATGTGCCTTTACTGGTTGGCTGTTGTATGTTTAAATTAATGGATTTATAATTGTAGATCCCGAAGAAGAATCAATTGAAACCATGCTTGTTCTCTCTAACTACTTTGTTCTGAATATATATATATGTTTCCGGTAACTGAAGATAGTTATGATACTGATGACCAAGGTAGGAAAATTGCCTGAACGAACTGCTTCTATACAAATAAGTTAGGATTCTTAACGTGAGATTTTACGGTTTCAGGCCTCTATGTAAGAGATGAACATGTGACGAAGAATTTAAGGATTAGCCTTGGGAACACGACAGATAACTTTAAAAGCTTTTATAACATCGAATTCATGTTCAGCATCTACAAGATGCTTTAAGGCAGAGCTGCAAAACAGACCTTGTGTGTCCTTTGATTGACCGTTATGCAGAATAATGTTCATAAATCCGGCAATGAACATACCCAATTGTACGCCTAATGCAACTCGTTTTACAGCAGAGGTCAAGCTGGTAGATATACCCAAAGGAGGCCAGATTAGTTATTTTATCCTTATTCATCAAACGCTAAACTGGAGTGGTCTAGGTTAGTTATCAGTCCGTTGACATGTTAATACTCCCAACTTATTGTTGACAAAATTATCGCCAATAGATGGGTAGATTTTTCTGTATTTCACTACAAACTGCCAAATATATTAGACTAGAGTCACAAATGAGGGCGTATTTTAAGAGTAACTATTTCTTCGCCAAATCCTTTTGTCTTCTAAATAGCTAAATGGGGATTTCCCCCTATTGGAAGCCTAAAATTTTGTCGCCAAGCTAACTGACTAATAATCGGAAGGAATATTTGAATCTAGGTTTCAAACTCATCGGTACTGATAAACATGGATTCGTCAAATGATTTTGGTTACGCTTCCGTAAACTACAAATTTATCCACTACAGTCCTATAGTGGGTTAACCGAGACTTGATAAGCTTATTGTTTATGTCATTGGCTATTGAAAGAGAGGCTAAGTGTCCGCGGGAGATATCAATTCCTTCTAGGTTTTGGTTACATCTCGATGACACGTGATTTTAAGTAAGAAAATTTGATTCAAGCCTTTCTACTGCCTGTTTCCAACCATCTACCATCTAAGCTTTTTCTGGTGTGTTCCATCTAACTTCCATTGTGTAGTAGTTATACAGTTACTAACTTCATCACTTGTAAACTCACGATTTTTAATGTGTTTGTTGATTTATTTCATGCATAATCACGAATTGACATCACAGTTAGACAACTAAACATGGAAAAACGTGGAGCACTTACTGAACACGTATTCCCTCACTATTTAAGGCTCTTAAGTACAAAATACAACCGTGATTCACTGCGGCATAAAGTGCCTGGGGTTTCAGTTAGTGGAACCATGACCACTGGGGTCCACTAAATTGGGCATGAAGATATATAATCGCCGATAATATCAGTTAGCTGTGGAGCTGTATATCGCGAATTAGTGTAATTAGGAATTCAGGGGGCTGGCCACCCCATTGGCTGAACACTTGTCTGACTCGCCTCAAAATCAGCAGGTCGAAGGTTTTGAACCAAAATGAAACGGTTGTCCAATGTACTTCCTGATTTTGGTTTTATAACTGTGACGTCAGTTAATGGTCAAACTTGGAATCAATCTTTTCAATTGAATGAAGAAAACTCTGTTGAAGAAGCAGCTTTTCTCTGTTTTACTTCTACCCCTTATCAGATAACTGATTCGTCTGCAACATTTCTTATCGATCCGCTGAAATCAGATATTAAATGTCAAAACAATATGTATGCGTACTGCGCAGATTACGTAACAAGCAAACCTTTATGTGATAACGATATTTCAGTTGATCACTTATCATCTACCTCTAAAATAGTATCTTCAATAGACATTCCATGTCAGCACAGGCAAGACAATAGTGAATCGAATTTATCATATGATATCGCTGAAGCCTATTCAACAGTAACCTGTCAACTGGTGGTTGATGAGGAAAAGAAAAACGCTTCAGTGGCAGTAGTAGTAGTCGGAACTGAAGGGGGAGAAGAAAAAGAAGAAGAGAAGTCTGGAGGAAGAGAGGAAGGAGACTTTTTCCAGATAAATAACCCTCTAATAGTGGATAGAACAAACCAGCTAGCTGAGATGAATTCAATCAAAACGTACACAAATGATACAATAGCTTCTGTTCGAAATAAATTATCAGATGAAAGAAATGCAAGGAATATTTATCAATACGCATCCAGTGAAATTAATCGCGTTTTAGTGAATATCATTGAGAGAGTAAAACAGGTTAGTTATTGTCATTAATATTGTGAATTAATTTGTAGATTTTCAAGTTAGCTGGTTTGTACAGATTTGTTCGATGTTTTAAGTTATATCACAGGCTGATATCAGTTATACAATCAAAAATGGAGGACCGGGGAATACTGAACTGCCGTGATTTTGGACTTTTCACAGTGGTAAAAAGCCATCACTCTACAGGAGGATGAAATCCGAGACCTTCATGTTACGGGGAAAATTCAATGACCAGTCAGTTGAGACGGAATCCAGTGTCCTATGAACTCTAATCGCCGACAAGGAACGATATATATTTATATGTATTCGTTGTTCGCCGATGACATTGTTTGGCTGTCATGCTATATATTGTGGTCATAGGTCATTGGATCGGGTCCAAGTGGTTGATTGGATTATGAGTTCACTTTATAATCGGATGGACCTGTGTTTGAAACCCAGTGAGCGCGGACTGAAGAAGAGCCCCGGACGAGGACGAAACATCTGTCAAGTACTCCCAGGTTTTCCAGTGGTTATCTAACTCGTGTCAGTTCGTGATCAAACCTTTGACTCATTGGTTTCCTGAAAACCAAAACTTGAATATGTACATATATATATATATATATACATAAGAATTGTGACTAACCAACAGCAGCATTAAGCAGCACTAACCACCATCAGCAGGAGAAACCTGAAAGAGGTCACTTCCCTCACTTATCTAGAAAGCATAGTTTCAACCATAGCTAGCGGAACGGATGAAGATGTCGAAGCCAGCCAGAATCGGAAAGGCAAGATACGCGATCATCAACCTGAAACGAGTTTGCAAATCTTCTGCTGTCATTCAGCATAAAGAATAAGATTCGGATTTTCAGCACAAATATGAAATCAGTCAATTCTTCCATACGGGTCCAAAAATTGGCCAGCGTACCACAAAAAGCACCTCCAACAGCCCACCACAGATTTTCATCAACGGCTGCTTTCACTGGCTCCATACTGAATATCAAATGACCGATCGATAAGAAATAATTAGTAACAAGAAACTCTGACTGGCAGTAAACTAATCAAGAGCCGATTGCCCAACAAATGTGTAGGATGGATCAGGCATACGTTGAGGTGGCCATCGAATGACATCACTGGCATTTCGGGTCATCGCTTTAGTGGCAACCCAATGGGAAACAACGAGAGGGTTGTCGGTGTGAGGGTGACATGGAGGAGGTCGTGTGAGTTGGAGGAGGAGATGAGAGATTATGGACAATCATGGACCCATATGAATTAGACGGCAGAGAATAGAACAAAATGGAGATGTGTTGTCCCACTCGGAACCCACGGGAATAATAATAATAGTCAGGTTTGTGAACCATACAGAAAAACTAACTTGACATCAATATTAAAAATGAGAATCTCGTTTCTTATACTGTGTGTGGCAGCTTGCACCTAGAGATTGTACCCAGAAAAATTAACTCAATCACTACAGAAACTTCAAAGCACCTATGCGTGACATATATATATATATATTTATAATTATTTGTAATCGGATTATGCTTATCATCAAATGTTACTATAAATAAAAATGTAAAACAGTCCAATAAGTTAACAGTTTCACTTAATACGCAGAAAAACAAATAAGCGTGTGTAGATTAATCTCATCTTTTTTTCCTTCTTGTTCTTTCAATAATCTCTTTTTATCTTTTCCACAAATTTGAAATGAAACGAGCAAAAGAAGTGAGGAATACAAAAAAGACGGATTATCTGAATAAACCTTAGGCAATACACCTATTTTTACCTATCTCTCTCTCTCGCGCGCGCGCGCTGCGTGCTTCCCTTAGCATTTTTAATCCCTTTTCATGATGATTACTCATCGTCATCATCATCATCATTATGATTACAGGTAGTAGCTCTGAAGTATAACATAATGATAGAACTTGAGTAAAATAAATAGTAAATGAAAAGTTTTCTTTTTATAAGAATTTTTTCTTTGATCGAATGACCTAATTCTCATAATCACCGTTTTTAAAAAGAAATAATTTCCGCCCAATTTAAATGACCGTGAATTTGTTGATTACTATTATTGTTATCGCTTCATAAATTATTAAAAAAGATACTTAGAAAGAAAGAGAAAAAGATAGTAGGTGGATTGATTATCTGCTTATTTTTCTTCCCTACAGGCTTTTATCTATCGATTGTGACAGTCTTATCTATATTCCTCCCCGTTTCTTCTATTCATAAACATGTTTCGAAGACATGTTTATTATTCTTATTGTGCCTGCTTTGTGTCCCTAGGGGAACATAGGGCTTCAAAAGAGGGAACATCTCTGTTCCACTTGGTTCTCTCCCTCTCTGTGTGTTTCACTCAACCCAACTGGCTCCACGACTGCCTTCCCACTGTTCCTTTAAGTTTTCATTTGCTAATCTTCACATCATCTCATGCATATCGCCCCCGGACCCATTCCTAACTCCTTCACCTTTCAACTGAAGGCCTACCTGGTGTGTTACGTCACTCACCGTTCTTCACAGTATATATCCAATATGTCTCCATTCCTTGAGTCATGTATATCGAACAAAAAGCGCTTTGGCTTACTGGTTCTTTGCCAGAATTTCTTGTGGCTATTTGTTTCCAGCCTTCTGATCTTCGGTATGGACCGTAACGAGCAGCTGTTGGTGAAAATCTGCAGTAGCCTTTCGGAAGTGCTTTTAGTGACATGCCAAGTATCTGCAGCATCGAGAGGCAATTACTGACCCAATGCATAACTGACCTTCTTGAATCACTGTGCCAAATGAATTTCTATTCTGCATCCACTTGTATCCATGAGTCGTCAGTTGTACTTATGCACGTTTTTAGTTGTCTTGCAACCTACTGCTGTGCATTTCTTGAAGACAGAAGAGGAATACAATTAGGGATTATTTTATTCTTCAAGTGTAACAGGATTGCGTCAGAGGATGGTACTCTAGAGTGCAATTTTACTTGACGATCCGGGTTGAAAGGAAAATATTATGCAATTAATTTCGCTGAAAATTCTCTAAACTGTGTAGACTTTTTGTGCTGTTATTATTATTAGTGTCGAAGATCTGAACCGTGTTCTTCATGCTTGCCTCAGTGGATTTCCATGGCGATTTCAGAGTAATAAATGTATATCTTGCTTTTCGAATCTTGACTGCCTTTATCTACCTCACCAGTGCCGCCTACAGTTGAAACGTTACTGCCTGGATAGGCGATAGAGGTGACTTCTAATCAAATCGTTACAGAAACTTCAAACCAAATCAAGCAATAAAACAAACTAACGTGAATAAGTGAATTTAAATTAGATGGAGAAAAATACTAGAGTCGTTCTTCTAGTGTGATTATGTTCTGGAATTCATGAGGCATAGGTCTCCCTCCCAGTAATTGAATAATAGTGAGGGGGTTTGCCTGGTAGCCTGAAGGTCGTGGATTCTATCCTTCTGGAAGAGAGAAGATGGGTGGGCACTGTCGAACAGTCAAAAAGAAGGAAGAGGTGGGGGAAACAGTCATTCAGTACTCTTTAGTTTTCTCTGTTTTGTTGTCTATGAAATCAATCAGTCATCTTACTTGAAGTCTCGAGTTGGAATTCATGGGCCACTGGATTGGATCTAAATGGTCTAATGGTCTGTGAGCTCGCCTTGTAACTGGAAGGTCATGTGTTCGAAATCCAGTGAGCGCGTACTGCAAAGAGTTCCAGACTGGGACGAAACACCTGTCAATTACTCTCTGGTTTTCCGGTGGTTCTGTAACTGGTATGGGCTCGTGATCAAACTTGTGACCAGTCAGTTTCCTAAAGACGAATACTTCAAATGACTTCAAATCAGTGAAATCCCTATAAACCATCTGTGGTATTACTTGTTGTGATTCACTTCAGTCTTCCAATAGAAAACTCACTTTTTAATAATATAACCTTATGTCTCTGTTGTTTTTATTTTGCAGAATGGTGATTCATTGACACCTGAATGTATAGATGTGGTAAGTGAGGTTGTTTAAATAAAAGCAAATCGGCATTATTCACTGTGAGACTATTTATCTTTGATAGTCACCTTTTGGTTGAGATAGTCTCCTGCTATCGATGATGAATGTAAAGGCATTGTAAAATAGAAATCTGAGTCATGGAAAAATTCCTACCAGTGGCCTCTAAGTTATGCTAGTCCAAAAGCCACTAGCTGAGGTGTGAGACCAAATGGGCATTATCTCACTGCAGTCACATCACAGGTAACGATGCTCAGGGTCATAGGAATGAATGTCCGTTCACCATTAGCATATTAGCCCCACTCCCTCTCTGACCGGGTCTTCACCCGGCAATCCTATTCATAAATTGAATATAGGGGAAAAGCTGGTTGTGCAGTTAACTGATGCGGAGACAATCTTAGGTAGTTTTAAGTAAGCACTGGTGGAGTGTGGGGCGTAAAAATAGCAACCCTACCTGTGGATAATCAATCTAATCGCTACAAAAACTTCAAAGGATTAAAATATATGAACTTATTCTTTTCTGGAATCGGGGAGACAAAGTGACTAGGGCTTGTGAAAACCTTAGAGAATCTGTTGTCAGCTTACATGTTTTCCTTCAATCACAGCAAAAATAGCAAGTCAACACTTAGTGCCTACACAATGTTTGATACCGTCGGCTTTCAAATAAAATGAGAGTAAATGGTAAATCGAAAAGCTAGGAATCTGTGGCAGCAGATGAATTTATGGAAGTGGAGTCTGCAAAATGGTAAATGATGAGCCATTAGAAAGGAAATCAGAGGGTAGAGTGCTGTTGAAGCCTTATGTTCCAATCAGAACCTAAGGGAATAATAATAATGATAATAAGTCACTTTATTCCAAACAATATTTTTTGTCAAATACAGAATGGAATATTTGGCGCTTTATACATATCACAACAATTTATCTCCATTTACACAAAAAATAACGGAAACATTAAAACTACAGCAACTGAAGTTAATAGATAAATAACAGATATTTTAAATAATAATGCTGGTAACAGTAAGTTGCTGTCCATTTACAGATTACAAAGTAGTAGCCTTTAATAAACTCTTTTCTGACAGTTATCTCGCCGTTCACAGAACACCCGTGCTGAATAAATTAAGGATTGAATTTTTATATTCAGTTACCGTGTTAGTATAAATTCTCATGAAATTTCTTCTGGCCTTACCCAAAAGAGATAAGTGGAGAAAGTTGACAGTAATAAAGACGACGTTCAGTATCAGGTAAGACGAATTTAGCCAATTAAAACAACTAAATAAGACAGGGTCACTTAGTTGAGACAAAGGCACACACACACACACACCTCCAACCCTACTTATAATCTTCAATATTCTCTGTAATGCATAACTAAGTCCTTTTCATGAAGTGAAGGGAAAAATAAAGAAGAATGGATAGAATATACGAATTAATAAATTGTAAGTGAACAGGTTGAGTTATGATGACAAAAAGCCTCACCTTCCTTACACAATAAGTCAAATCAAAGATTTGTTGATATAAGAATAGAACTTGTGCAGTGTGGTAGATTATAATTCCCTTATGCGTAAAATTTATTTGGATAGAGTCTCACAGTGTGTTATACAGTAATATTTACTGATGACCACGTTTCGAGCACAATTTATTGCCACTCATAATCATATCAAGGCACTACTCACAAAACTTTCTAACTTCGTTTATATAATTCCATTATTTTTCATCTCTTGACTTGATTGGTAGTAGTATTTTCCATATTTCCGGTATGAGTGATGAGTTATTCCTAATGCCCATGTTGGGTGTGTACTCGATGAACAAAGATTCGGTATATATATATATATATTGCTTCTTAGAGTTTTGACTCTATCCCACCCTATTGTTTTATTATGTGTTAATGCATGCAGTACAACCACTGAGCTTTTTTCTAAATTTCTTATCTTCTAGGGGTCAATCATTCTTATCTTAGCTGAATTCTTATGTTCTAACAGTCTGATTACACCTGATCTACTAGTTTAACCTATGTAGTTGACTTCACAGTCATTGCAGGGTATTTTGTAAATTATATTATTTTCTCTAATTGGGTCCATTGGGTCCTTTAACCTACAGAGCTTGTCCGTAAGTGATTTTGTAGGTTTATATGCCACTCTAATTCCCACTTTGTTGAGAATTATACGTAGGGCTTCACATGTCCCCTCCTCATTTGGTATAACGGCAGATGCCTTATATTCTCTCTTATTTATGTTATCATCATTACTCGTCACTCATACCGGAAATATGGAAAGTACTACTACCAATCAAGTCAAGAGATGAAAAATAATGGAATTATATAAACAAAGTTAGAAAGTTGTGTGAGTAGTGCCTTGATATGATTATGAGTGGCAATAAATTGTGCTCGAAACGTGGTCATCAGTAAATATTACTGTATAACACACTGTGAGACTTTATCAAAATAAATTTTACCTATAACGGAATTAAAGATTTGTTTTTGAAAATCAAGAAAATGTAAGACAACCAATGAACGGAAACTGGTTCAAAGACACGTAGTATACGATTTATTTCCTACTACAGTACTGTCGATAGCATACAGGAATCACGCGACTGAATCTAATCAGTCCACATCTGACTGTTTTATTTCAAAGTCCACTGGTCCAACTGCTTTGTTGCAGGCTAAATTTCCACTTCGTCTCCACCACCTCACGCTCAGTCATCACCTATTGTTTGCATTCAGTTGCATGCGCTTATTCATTATTTTTTTCTTCAAAATATCAGTGTTTTAATTTCTTTTTTCTTCATTACATTATAACTAATAAACTGTAGGAATGAGTGGTGATCTATTCCCTCCTCTACTGTATGTATATAATATCTAACTGACCATCTTTAGGTCATGTATATGTATTCTATTTCATTATAGGCATTTAGATTATAGATGATATAGGGTAATTGCTATTGGTCAGCTTTTTGACATACTGGAACACACATGCAAGCGTGCACACACATATACAAAAGGCACGTATACATCGCCACACACACACACACACACACACAGTGAGATAACATCAATGAACTGTGTTAACATTTGAGAGATAAGCATATACAGAAATCTGTCTGTTATTAGATCACAGAATAATATAATATGTATATTGAAGAAAAAATGAGTCCTACTTAAACTTAGGTAGAAGTAGATAAATTTTGAATGCCAATTTTCTTTTCTTAAAGTGGGGAATTTCGATGAAATGGAGATTTGTTGCTCAAGAGAATGATTTTGATATTCAGGTATTGGTTTGTAGGGATTTAATTGATTGGTTACAGGATTTTATCATGAGCTGACATCGGTTAGAGAACTATTGGGGAACCTACAGGGAGTACTGGACAGCTGTTTTGCTCTAGTTCGGGACTCTTCATCAGTACGCACCCATCGGGGTTGACCCTGAGACCTTCTGGTTACAAGGCGAGCCCTCACACCCAAATTGCTGTGCCCTATTGGTCACGGCTTCCCACTAGAACCCCACGTAACTACCTACCTGGATAGGGCCAGTCACTAATGAGCATCTCATTGATATTCAATAATTTCGATTTAAGTGTGGTGTTCGCTGAGGGGCTAGTTGTAGATTTAAGTGCAGAGCTTTCGTCGTCCATCTGCTATACAACATCTTCAATGCAGGTTTTAGTATGAAATGAACTCATTTGAATGATGTTATAATTGTGCATCTCCTGACAACCTTTGCTGTCATGATTGGTTGTTAATTTACTTCTTCCTCTATTGATCGTCTTTACTGACTTGGAATTTGAACTTTCTTGTCACGTGATTTACTTTTCATTAGATAGTAAATTTGATCTATACTAATGTGTTTGTTAAATGCTATTTCACTTGAGTACCAGGCTTCTAGGAGTTCTCTACATTATCCTAATCAAATTCATGTCCATAATTATCTACACGTATCGATATCAAAGAGGAATACATATCGTGCCTTTTCACAGTTGATTTATATTTTTGGATTCAGATTCGAAGGCGATGTCGCCATTTTGACCGATGTAATGTTTATCGGAGTTCATGCAGTTTGTAAGATTACGTAAATGGCAGTAATCTTATCTTCCTTTTATGTTGGGTCTTTTTAATTGGCGCAATATCAAATATAGTGATTGTGTCGGTTGGCTTGTGTGCTATGTTTATTTCAAACGGTCTTAATATTCTAGCCGTTGTCTAGAAGGACAACGAAAGCTCCACACTTAAGTCAACCAATTCAGAGAACAGAACTAAAGTTTCTTAGAGTTAATCAACAAATCAACCGACAAAGATGAATTGTTATAATCATAATTGTTAGTATTAATCAATCAGGCAAATTCGTCATGTAGTCAGTGACTAGAAGTAAGTTGTGATCAGTCGTCACATCAACCAAAATCCCAGCAATACAAACACTCGAAAATTTTATTTATTTTATTTATGATACTTCACTCATATTTGCTAACAGGAACTGGTTTGCCTCAAGGCGCTGCTGTGCTCTCTCCATTCCTTTTTTCCTACATTTTGCATGGCCTACCACGTATTCTTCCAAAGTTAAGTTCATTAAGTATGCCTATGGTCTGGCCATTTCTTTCCCAGTAGTTTGACACTTGATTGTTCTTATGTGTGAACAGATCCTTATCTGAAGTTAACAAACGGTCTCACCTAAGTGGTCTTAAACTGAATCCCTCTAAATATTTCATATCGATGATTTTAGTTTCAGACTTGCTGATTCACTCCCATAGCTCTTGTATCATTGACGGCACTGTGTGATAGGGAGTAAATCGAATATCTCTTATCTCGGTAACACCATTTTCTCTTCGAATCTGTGCTAGTCATCTCACATCCAGTTGATTCCCAAGCACAAAATTTGTCGTTTGACTTGATACATTAAGAAGTCGAGACTTTCTGGCATGATAACTCAACCTCTTTTATTGCAGTCTATTAATTCATGTATTTTGCTCGTTCTCCTTTATTTTTCGCCCTTATTCGTCCTTCCCTGCAATTCTCA